TAACTCTAGTTTTCTATTTTTAAATTTCTTTGTTTCGGAAGTCAATCATCGATAGATCACGTGATATTAATAGTTTTCGATTTTTATTCCAGTGATGCGTTATTTTTGATCGCCACTGTAGTTTCATATTTTCTTTTAAGAATAAGGATAATTCTAAGGATTCAATTTTAAGCCATGTGAATCCTAAACGTATTGCGAATGCATTAATTTATCACCATAGATATGGTCCTACATTTAGTAGTGATCTGTGTATATTTAATTTTAATGGCGGAGAAAATGATTATAGTTTGCTTATTGCGAACATGCTATATATGAAAAAAGGATAAGAGATACAGAACAATTCAAAATTCAAGATTACGAAGTATTTCAAATTTTAGAAGATGTCAAATAATAATAGTGATAATTCTAGTATTTAAACTATTTTTTTTATTCTGATCTAAAGGTAGCAAGCAAATCATCACATTTAATCGTTTTCCTATGAAATCAAGGAAAGGATAAATCTGTAGAAATGATAGTTGTCGCATACACATAATAAATCACATGATAATTCAAAAATATGTTCAGGTCTCTTTTTATTTTATTACTTATAGATCTCAATTATTCGGTGTTTCGACAAAATTAAGACGCATTTAGTGAATTTATTTACAGTATTTATAATACAGTATATGATATCGTATTATGTAATTCGGTCTGAAGTATGAATTAGAGAAAAATTTCCTTGATATGCTTCATCATTTTTTATATTAATTCATCGAGTAGGCAAATGGATTCCATTTACTATGTATTATGTTTAAATGAATATTGATAATTATTAAAATCAGCGAGATATTTTGTGAACGTAGATATCAACAGTTTCCGAAATTATAAATTTTTTCGCAAAATAAATTTTGAATATATTTTTTTTTTTTTTAAATAGTTCAATATTTTCATTTAAAACTTTTTTATAATTTCGCATAAGATTGATTAATTAGATTTTGTGATGCATTTTCTTAGGAAAACTATTGCAGAATCAGTATTTAACAAGTATAAACATGAAAATCTGTGTTAAATGATGTATTTAAGTTTGATACCTTAGAAACTTTATTTATATAATTACATTATAAAATTTTTTAAAAAACCATTCCAATTTATGATAAATATCATTATAATTTTTTTTATTTGATTTATATGAGAATAATTATACAACTCATATGACAGACAAAAATATCAGAAAGAAATATAATAAATAATATAGGTAACTTACATGATCGATCGACTTTCGATTGCGTCCAAGGATGGAGGTTTACAATACGGCTCGGTCGATATATCGACTACGCTACGCTACAAGGATGAGGGATATCCTACAGGACTCGGGTTGCGTGAGCACCCACTCATGAAGCAGTTTTTGATTCACATAAGGAAGATGGCATAGCAATTCCTTCTACAGAAAATTCGCAGACCCTCACCAAGAAAACCACATTCATGAGGCAGTTGTACCGGCCCTTTTTCAATTGTAGATGATTGAAAATTAAAGTTGGTCCCCCCATCACGTTCGAAAAAAAAAATTAAAAAAAAGAAAATGATAAATTACGAAAACAAATTAATGTATACCACCATATTAACCCACTTCCACATTTGCCCACTAATAAAATCAAGAAAAATATTAAACATTAACAAGGTTTAACGCTAATACAGCACACACATTATTTTTTTGTTTATATTTTTAGTCCTGTTAATATGAGCTGTCAATTGGAAAAAGGAAGAAGCTTTGAATCAGTCTTATCGATTTAAAATAATATTCTATTATTGTAGATAATTATAGGATATTACAAATAACAAATAAAAGAAATAGGAATATAAAGTACGGAGTTCTTTACAAGTAAGATAATATCTCTGACTGAAATAAATATAAAAGCCGGGAGAATTTAATTTTATTAAAGGGATAAGTAATAGAAAAGAACATTACTTGGACATAATTTTTTGTGTTGAAATATAAGGTACGATGCTTTGCCCGCTTTTTAGAAAAAAAATCTTGAGACACAAACTAAATTTAGTAAGTACACTTCGTGTGAATATAGTGTAATATAAAATTTCTTAATTGTAATTAATTAACATCAATTTGGAAAGAAAATGAGGAGTATACATTTATACAGTAGTGAATCATGAGTTTTACATAATTTTTTTTTATAAAAAATACACTGTCGGAAAGTTCATTGAAAAAAGAAAAATATATTTGTCTACTACAAAGTTTCTTAGAACGTATTGTTTTCTTTTCTTTTTATTATTAACCAATTTTTTTTTTTTGAATTTGACCATTTCGATCTCGTTTCATATTTCAAAATCAGATTTTTGTATCTTGAAATTATTAGGGAGTAGAAGTCTTAGTTTACAGATATTTTTTAGTGAACCAATAGTTTCTGCATCCCACGATTCTTGAGAATTTTTAAAGCATTTATTTTCTGATTATAAATATTTTCAAAATCTTCATTTTCTACTTTTTTTAAAAAAAACGCTTTTCTACTTTCATCAGGGTAAATCATAACGCATCAGATATTTTTTCTCAACGTTAATACAACCTTCGCAACCTCGTCTCGATAGCAGCAGAGGAGCAGGGAGTATGGCTTTCCAAGAAAATTTTTTTTTGATGGGAAGGTTTTATGCTTAACTTCATGAATAATCTACTATAATATTTTTCTTAGAGAGGGATGTCGTAGGCATTTTTGCTTTTCTTGTGACTACACTCTCTTCTATTTCTGTAGCTTGAATATTAAATATTAGTATGGTTTAGAAAGTGCTTCTTTTCATGTATCTTTTTGTTACTTATGTATTTTAATACCTATGTATCTTTTTCAAATATTCAATAAAATTTTTCCAAACTTTTGCCTTCAAACATCAATATGATATAAGAGAAATTTAAATTCAAATCATGACAGTATGCAAATCGTGCATTACCATAGTTAACTATATTATTTATTTTTGTTGAGAACTCAAAGAATCAGCAATTTATCGAAATACTTGAAACGACTCTTAATGAAAGCGAAACATCACTACAAATGACTAAGAAGTATTGAATTCTGTATTAAGTCAATAGCATAGTTAGATATATTAATAATTTGCAATCTTCGTTAGGTGAAATAGATAGAGGCTACAAAAATCTGATGTTGAAACTCCAAAAATACACAGAAAAAGCTTTGTATGAAGAAAGAAATCTAAAGTAGTTTCTGAAAGGGCGAGGATTGCTCTTGAAAATCGCGTTGAAAAACTTATAGCCAAGAAAAATAAAGTGTTTTTATTACATATATAATTAAACTTTTAGATATTATTTATTCTAAATATTAATTTTATTTATAATTAATTTTTTTTTTCTTACAATAATTATACTTTTACTAATTAAAAAGAATTACAATACATTTCATTTAAATAATAATCCTATTTGATAACTTGAATTAAAGCATAAGAATACAATTTCGATAACGTACCATGACGAGAAAAAAGTAGATCATTGCAAGTCACAGCCGGCGCTCTGTAATTCTCAGAATCTATTTTATTTAAAATATTATTAAAAGAAATTAGTCGTATATGAAATATTATTGAAGGACCTTTTCGTGACCTCGTCGAAATTGAAGAATTACTCTCGAAATAATTGCTCGCAACCCAGATTGGTTCTCTTGCAAGTGAAGAACATTTTCAATAAAATTAGAGTGAAAACTGAATAAAATATTTTGGCATTTCTGTAACTTGTCTGCCTTAACTAATACGCGTCCTCAGAGTAACAACAAATAATAAAACTTTTCAAACCTTGAAATAAAGTTTTTAACGTAAATAAGGATTGTCACTAAAATTGTCCTATTTTGTAAGTTGTCATCAACTTCACCCCTCGTGTAACAAATAAAGTGACAAAAAAATTTTTCTCTGAACACCAATGAATTATTTTTTAAGTACGGCACACGCTATATGTGGTATCTATTCACCTATTCGCACTATTGCCGCGCAAAATTGTACTATCCGTATGACTCCATTGTTTTAAACTTGTTTCAAATTTTTTTTTTTTATTTTTTTATAAACATTTATCGATTGGTTTTTTTTTAACAATAAGAATGTATTTATTCAATCGACGTCGAAGGACAGAACCTAAATTCATTCATGTTTTAAGAGCATGTATAATGATATTACTATTAGCTATCCTTGTAGTATACATCATTTTTTTGATTATCGAAGTGATTAATAGTGCCCTAGCTATACAAATTTCAGTAGTAGAAGCTAATGAAATGCCATTTCCTGGTATGCATATATGAAAAATGATTGATATCATATATCCTTATTTAATATTGATTATTTCAGATATGGGATTTCACGGCGAAGCTCCATTCGATGTAGATTGTCAATTTTATGATGGTAAGCATGAAAACTTTTTTTTTATTTTTTTGAAGAAATAAAAATAAATTTTAACATTAACGTATATAGGAGACGATGTAATATATAGCTGTAACGATTCATTGTCATCACCACAAATATTTAAGGAAGATGCTTACCCTGGTTATTTTGGATATTTTATGAATAAAAATAATTTAAAATATGCAAGGCATACAACAAACGGTGACCAAATTATAAAAATAAAATTATTTTCTAATACATCCAATGATTTGATATCAATTTACATTGTTGATTCCGGTAAATTTATAAAAGATGTCTTTCTCTTTAAACTTTGATGGCAAAAATGTATTAAGAATAAATTATGTATTGCATTCATAGAAAATAATCCCTTAAAATCTCCAGATTATAAAATTTATACGAAAACATTTCAATTTCTTGATTTCATGAAAGAATTATTCGCAAATAATAAATACCGTATTGCCAATAACCAGGTAATCGTCTTTATTTTTTTTTATTTTTTTTTTTTTTAAAAAAAAGCTTACCGTTACCTTATGATTGTTGTAATTAGCTTTCATTTATAGGGTTGACAAGAAATCAAAAGAAGATAATTAAACCTTCATTTAGTAGTACTCTTGGAGTCAATCCATCTTATAAAACCGAACATCGTATTATATCCAAATTTCGTAAGCAAACATAAAATTATTCCGCTTATTCTTATTATATACAATATTAAAGTTAATCATACATAACAGAGAGCACACCTCTTCCTACTAAACCAAGTACTGGATATTACAGTGAAATTGAAATATCCGTAACAAGTTTCCATATGCAAGTGGAGACTGAAAAAAGGTAAGTTATGAAAACTGATATTCACACAAAAGAAACAAATGTTAAAATAACATTTATTAACATCGCTTCTCCAACACTTTTAGAATACGAACTGTAAGTTTTCTTGATTATTATTATTAATGAGCAAAATCTAATCAGCTCTTATTCCACTAATAATAATAAAGTTACTCAGTGTGCTTGGTCTTATGGGTGGTGCTTGGGGTTTGGCGTCGGCATTGTATGCGGCTTTATTTGGTAAATGTATTTTTCTTTTAAAAAAAAAAAAAAAAAGAAAGAAAGAATAAAAAGGTGGTTCAGATTATCTTATTATTTTCATTATTTTGCAATAGGTGTCGATGCGATTCGTCCTTGGGGTGGTATACAGTTTTATTATTGTGGATATAGCCATAGAATATATAATAAATTTAAAAATACAATGCCAGTTCTTCCATTAATCAATTCTCCTTCCTTAATGACGGAGTTAAATTCTTCTTCTCCAAACGTTAAAGAATTACATGATCGCTTAATTTCTCTTGAAATTTTTCTAAAGGAATATGTTGTAGATGTAAGGTTTTTGGAAAAATCAGAGAAAATGGATCAAATTAAATATGGTGATGACAAATAATCGTCACTTATTCAGAATGAATTTTTATTTTATTTCTTTTTATTACATTAAATAAATAAAAAAAAAAAATAAAAGATATGTAAAGTATATGTGTACTCGGATGTTGATTTGTCTGTTGGCCTAAATTACTGGCTCATTTTTGTAATTTCTGGCCAGCATTATGGACGATCATCTTCGATCATTTCTATATTTAGTATCACGTAACAACCAAATATTTCAATTTAAAAATAAATGTAAATCCTATATTATTCAAATAGCAAGTTCATACTAATGACATTTGGAAGGTTTTCCATTAAAATCGAGTTACAAACATAGTATATCATAAGATTTGTAACGTTATTTTAATAGCAAAGCTCTCATTAAAAATTTCATATGATTCAAATGTTAATTTTTTTTTTTAAAATGTGGTAGTTCCACAATATCTTTATTATGAAAAAGTAAAATATAGAATAAAATACAAATCAAAAGAAATTACAGAAATCTTGTAAAGAACTAATCTAAGACTAATCTATAGAAGACTGACCCTGCACTCTTCCAAAATCAGAACTTAACTTAAGCTAAGAAAATCACCTTTTGAATAAGAAAATAAAGTACCGTAAAGAGGGCGAGACCATTACTACACCAAAAATTTGACCAATGGGATTCCATCTGAACTGTGGAAAGTACAGAAGAAGAGCTAAAAGAATAGGTTGAGAGGATAGATGAAATATTGTAACCAGAGATGGTAAAATTAGCAGCTTTTGAATTAAGAGTAATATTAAAGAACTTTTCAAAGTCATGTACTATTTTACAGCGGTTATTCCAAATTGTTTGTGTGGATTCAAAAATCAAATGCATAAAAGAAGAGCAAGCATCTAAAGCTAAATGCTGTGAAGTAAGTTTATTGTGGAAAAAAATTAAAAAGGTATGCTGAAACAATTCCTCTGATAAGAGCGAAAAAGAAGGAAGTATCATAAGTTAAAAGCGACCAATAATTCAATTAATCAATTTCATAATCTTGTGCATTAGTAATGTCTTTTAGATAGAATTTGGATTGTAAGATAATCATTTTCATATCGTAATTAACAATGGGACACATTCATAAGTGATAGAAGTTTTCATCTGCGACATCGTATCGTAGACATAAAAGTGAGAAATCATATAATGACAAGTATCGTACTTTAAGAATTTCAAGAATTGATAACATTTTGAGAAGTCTTTAATATTTCATTTCTCTTAGAAAGGAAGCAGTATATGATGTAATCTGTAATGCTATATTATCATTGAGTATAAATGAGATGACAACTTAATTGATTTAGTAAATGCATGTGAACTGAGATAAGATATAAAGTCTAAGTAAGTTTGAGATGAAGCGTTCATAAAATAAATCTTTTACAAATTATCTAATAGGAATGATAATTAGTATATTATTATAAGTGAAATAATAGCGAAAGGCATTAGTTATTTGTAGCTGAAGGGCCGTAATATTTAAACAAGATTTTGCTAGAGTGTCAACTTTATTGTTAAAAATGTTATCAGAGTGAGCTTTAACTTTGATAATATTGACTGTGATGTTATGAATATCTATTATTTCAAAAAGACATAACTAATACACAGAGATATTAATCTTAAAAGTAGGTCAAACTGTTAAGGCTTGAATAAAAGAAATTTAAAATGATTGAATTAAGAAATAACAACAGCTGAGTCAGTGAAAATAGTAACAATACAATTTGGTGGGCTGTTAGTAAAGCAATAAAAATAACTGCAAATTCAGAATAGAGGATAAAGGAAATGAAAAGATAAAAGCAGAGGAAAAGAAACCATTGGTGAGTTTTGATGCATTTAAAGCTAAGTCAAATCCATTTTTACTGAAGGAAAACCTACATTTTTCAGAGAACTATCTGTGTAGAATTCTAGAACAGAAGAGAAAATAAAAGAGTAGGAGAGGTTTAGTAAGTAAGATTTATAGAAAGATAATAGAAATTTATCAAAAAAATTAATAAAGGTTGGTGGAGAGAATGGTCTTGGTATTGTAAATAAACTTTGATTACTGTTTGATAAAAAACAAGTAAGTGCAAGCTCGTAAAGAGTACCTAAAGATAGAATACTATGTGTACGATTACATCAGTTATTTTTAAAGATGATTGAAATAGTTATACAAAATTTGAGAGAGTAAGTGAAAAAACAATTTTCATGGTATCCTCTTAATTTGATAGCATTATTTTGGTGAAGTTGGCAACATCTACAAGGATCAATGATTGTGAAATTTTCAGGTCCAATTAAAGGTACATAATACATTAGAAGAACAATATCAGTATCAATATTTGGAGACTAAGCTATTAAAATCATCTTACGGGACCCTACTAACTAAAATTAAGATTTTTGATTTATATTATTATATAATTTATGAACTTTATTTGGTTAAATTTTTATAGTTGATTATCTTATTAACAAAGCAAACAATTAGGCTGTCAAAATTTCTCATTTTTTTGTATAATATCAGTCAAAAAATCTAAAATTAGATTTTAGTAATGATTAATATTATTATTTAAAAAGTTAAAAAAGTTTTAGATCCTTATAAAATTCAAAATTTTTTAACTTTAATTAAAACTATTATTAATAGTTTGAATGTGTATTTGAATGGGAAGTCTGGGGGGGTATGAATACCTTTAAAAAAAATTATTTTTTATTAAAAAATTCCTTTTTTTTTTTTTTTTTTTTTTTTTTTTTTTAGAAAAATTAGTGTAATAATATCCTATAGGGTGATTTTAATAGCAAAATCTCAAGTAATACAAAATTGATTTTAAGTACAAAATCTCAAGTATTACAAAAATGATTTCAAGTTTTACAAAAATTAGTTTTGTAAAATAATTTTAAATAATAAAATTTTAAATATTATAAAATAATAATTTAATAGTAAAAATTTTAAATAATAAATTTTAATATCATCTTAATAATTAATTTGACTTAATATTAAAAACAGAATAATTTATTATTGATTAAAAATGTTTATTATGACGTAGCATTTTTTTAATCATTATTTACTCAAAATCAATTTCTTATCCTGTAAAGTGATTTTAATAGCTTAGTCTCTATTTGTGATTCTTTTAGTACAAAAGAGTTAGAAGAGAAGTACTATTCTATAACAATATCAGTTGTATAAGAGAAAGAAGTAGGACTTTTAATGGAAAAACCATAGCAATATTAATGTTTATAAGAGTTAGTAAGTAACAATCTTCTATTAGAATTTGGATTTAAATGTAGTTCTAAGGCTGTAAACTAGTTAAGAATCCTAAAACTGTGTGTAATTAAATAAGTTATAGTATAAATATCTTGAAAGGTAAACATGTAATTCACTTGGTAACTTGTTAATTATTTAATAAAAAGCATCGAAAATTTTCTTAAACTGCTAGTATGTTTTCTGTAAATATTAGGAATTAATTCTGAAATTGGTGATGCTTCCTGTTATGTTATTGATCAGAATAGGCAGCATATTAAGTTTGATATTTATTTAATTAAGTGTACAAAAAAGAGATATGAGTCAGTCATCTGATCTTATCATCTTTGAAAAAGGCCAGTAGAACAGAGTGTTTTTAAAGAGTCACTCTTTTGGTTGTAGTTGAAGAGTACATATATAAAAGAATGTACCAAAGATATTGGATTTGTTTATCATTTATAAAAGGGCATTACTGAAATTTTGTAAAAGTTGTTGATATAATGGAGTCAAATTGTAAAAATAATTCGAGTAGAATAAATCTGTTAGTGTATATTTGAAGAGCTTTAGTTTTCTTTTAATAAATGCTAAATAAGTGGTAATGAAACTTTTATACTATGATTCAAAAGGTAACGTGAGTTGAGATCTATATTCAATTCTTGGAAGAAGAACTATGTTAAAAATATATATCAGCTGCGAATCTGTAATGATTTAAATGTTAAGCTTGCTAACTAGTGTTAGTCGTAAATTATACTGCATTTTAGATGATCTACAACTATGCCAAATATTATGAAAATGATACATGTTAAACATGTAATATTTGTATTATTTGATCAACTTTATAATACATATATCAAATAATTTACTTTTTAATATAAATATTATATAGTTTACTTTTTATTACTTATATTATATTTTTTAGTTTCATTATATGTATTATTTTTATTTATCAAAAAACTAGTATAGTACTAGTTAATAATTTTATATAAATAGACCTATAAGTTGATCTTAAGTCAACAGAGTTTGAAGAGAGTTTGATCAGATAGTTTCTGAATAAGTCTTGGGAATAGACTTATAACTCTACAGTTAATAAAATTACTATTTTACACTTTCAACTTTTTTCTTATCTTCATTATAAGATTGATCATGATAACTTACTACACAAGTGAATCATGTAATAGATTGTTTTGTTTGTTAATTGTTAATTTCTCTTAGGAAAGGCCTTTGAGATAATTGTGTTATTAAGTTTATTAGTTTTATTAGCTTAGTTTGAGATTATTTCAGGTCTATCAGTTTGGTAATTCCTACTAGGAGAAAGACTCTTGAAAGTTTTAATTTTAAATCAATTTAGATTTAAAGGATTATATTTGAAGTTATAAATAAATTTGAGTAATAAAATATTGATCCTAAAATGATAATAAAATGAATATTACACAATGTTAATATATGAATTAGAAGAGATAGTAAATGAGACTTATCGAATTTTATTTAATGAAAATAAAAATATAAGTTAGATCTCTATAGCATTTATTCAGAAACAAATAAATGAAAATTCTACTTCAATAATAAAATATGATGGTACAAATACACCCTTCTTGTATAGATATTTATTGAAAATTAATAGAATAAATATGCGTTTTTCTTTAAAAGTAAAAAATGAAGATATTCCTATTTTAATATTAGGACAAGATTGGTTAAGTTATGTAAGAGCTACCAATATAAAAAGTAACAAGATCTTTAAAATATAGTATCATAATTAATGTACCTATATACCTATAATAGAATTATAAGAATTATTATATGAAGATGATAATGTTAGGTCACGTAATATAAACAAGAAATGGCATCATTTGACGAAAAGTTTGAAAAGAAAATCTAAAAGAAAATCCAAAAAAGAAAAGTATTGAAGAATTATTTCAAAAAGATTTTATTAAAAATGATAAAATGCAAAAAGTTAATGATATTTTTGAAGAAATAATTCAAATATTTTAACAGAAGATGATGAATCTGAAATAGAAGTTAAATCAAATTATTCTAGTGATAGTGATACTTGTTACAATGAAAATTGTAATATCAAAAAAGAAAGTAATCAATTATATTCAATAAATAATAATGAATTTAAAGCATCAAGTAATGTAGTAATATCCAATCACTTACGATTATACCTACAAGTAGCAAAATATTTTGAATATTTAAAGAATAGAAAAATATATTATTACGAATATAAAGTACCTAAAGAAGTAGATATCAATGAAAAGATAAAAAGAAAAAAGAAAAAGAAAATAAAAATATAATTTAAAAATATCGATTGAAAAAAAATAAAAATCATGTGATATGATATTATTTAATGAAATATATGAAAAAGAAAATACAAGAGAAAAAGAAGATGAAGAAATTATAAAATAACTATTTTCTAAAGACTTTGTAAAAAGATAATAAAAGTCAAAGAATTAAAAATATTTTTGAAGAAATAATTTGAGTCTATTAAAATATTTTGACAAAAATAAATTTACGTAGATGATGAACTTATACATTTTTGTAATACTATAATTTCTATTTGATATAATAAAGATTTTAAGAATTAATCAATTAGAAAATGAAAGTAGAAAAAACTTTGAAGTAATGTACAAATTTACTATATCACTAATTTTTAAATGCTCTTATGAAAATAATAAAGTCTTTAATATAATTAAAAATATATCAACACATTTACCAAATTAAGTAGATCACTAAATATAAAAATAACTAAAATGATGTAATTATTATGAAACATGAAATATTCTGAATTTAAGAGTTTCTGAAAATAAAATGGAATTTTTATCAATTAAAATTATTTTGATTATGTGATATATTAAACAATATAATATTAGCAAATGAGATAATAATTATTAAAAAAGTGAAAGCAAAAGTGTTAATAATATAATTAGCAGCTTTTGAAGTAATATTGGACAATTTAAAAAGGCAAAATGCAATAATGTGCAAAAATTTTATTGAATAATCTAAGAAATACAAGTTTTAAGATACATGAAATAAAAGGAAACAGAAGTATAATATAATGCATAAAAGATCAGAAATATAGTGATTACTCAACTTGTCAATTTAATTCTATTTTCTGGATGATTCACTTCTTGAGTAATTTTTTTATAAGCTTCTTCAAGTGAACAAATCCTATTTTCTTGTCGAACCAAAAGAAAAAAAATATTAGTTAGCTCAGTTCTTAAATGTTTACATTTAGCAAAAAGTTTAATATTTTGATTTAAAGAAATAGATAATTGTAACCTTTCAGAACATCATTGGGTTTATTAAGTTAACCTTTTAGTAAACTGGTACTCACTGGTTGAAGTTGCCTAACTTCACATTTCTAATGTATGTCCTTTTTCTATTCAGACTATAGGTTCACATCAAGAAATTCAAGAAACTCGTCAAAAAAATTCTACATTAAGAGTATACATATCAATACAAGACAATAGAGGCTATAATAACCAGTTCTAAGTAAGGAAAACTTATGTTTTAAAAATCTATAGTATAGTAAAAAAGGCAAAAAGTTAATATGCTGCAGTCATATTAAATGAGATCAAATGTACTGTTACAGTTCACACAGATAATAAGCATGCATATAACCATCTACTTAGCTAGACTAGTGCAAAGCATACTTTTTTTCATTACCTCTCAATTTAGAAATATTTTTAAGCACACCTAAGCTCACCTTGAAAATTCTCTTACACTTGCGTTCTCTTTGATAATATAATACTTTACATTTATTAGAAAAAGATCTTTTCTTATTAACATATGTCTTATTAAAGATTTTTTTTCATAATAATTTAAAATTTTATGATAATTTTGGAAGAAAAGAAAAATTTTGAGAAAAATAAAAGGAATTCTTGGATAAATATTTATAATCAAAAGAAGTGACTATGAAAAATTCTCAAAACTATGAGAATTATTTTTTTGTAAAAAAATAAATAAGAATCCATTGGATTACATTGGATGATAATCATTATATAGAAATCTATAGAATAAAAACTTGTTTAAAATTAGCACAGTTAATCAATATTACCAAATTAGATGATCACGCAATATTTGCATAATATATTTTGATTAATATTTCTTTATTTAATACAAATTCAAAAATTTTCGTAAACTGCATAATTTTAAGAGTTCAACAAAATGCATGCATGAAAATCAAGAAATACAAAAATGTTATTTTTCCTGAAGAAACTACTTACAATATTTACGTATTCTATCTATTAAAAAAGTTAAATAATATAATTAGTTAATTAAAAGTTTATTTTAGATTTATATTCAATAAATTTCTCGTGATATATTTCTTAAATACTAGATTTCAATGAACTTTTCTGATATAAAAAAAGATTAAGTATATCATGGATAAAGATCAGATCAATATAATCAAGCCATTAAGTATATAATTTTATTTACAAAATAATTGATAAAATATACAATCCAGTTACAACTACTAGTCTAGCCTAGCAAACCACTAGCGAAGAAAAATTTCAAGAAAAAGACCAAGTAAAAATAAACATCCCAACCACCATTCAGACTATCCAACTGAAGTTAACACTCAACTTTTTCACAAATCTTTGTAAAATAATCACTGCTCTAAAAATACTTTCTTTTGATAAAAGTTTTCAGCTTTTAGTGTATTTATTCTTTGTCTTAATAATCCTTTACAATTAGTTTGATCAGAAGTTATATAAGTAAGCCTTTCTATCATTATCAGTCTTTTCTTTTCTTCTTTTTATGCTTAAACTTGTAGTTCAGTAGCTCTTTAAAGTTTATTATTTGAAATATGTGAAAAGTTTTCATATGTTTAGCTCTCTTTGAAAAAAACTTTGAAAAGTATTTGAAGAAGGTATTATTAGATTTATAAAATTTTTGAAAACTTTAAGAAAAAGATTAATTTTAAAAAACCTAATTGATATACATAAAAGTTAATATTTAAAGAGAATAATTATTCACGTGAGCTCAATTAGACGATTATTTAAAGTTGAAATATTTATATAAAATTTTGAATTCCATAATTTTAAAAATCAACAAATTTTAGCTCTATAAAAATTTAGAAGAACTTATATTTGTAAAATCAATTGCAGATAAACCATAAATAGCAGACTCTCTTAGAATAAATCATGTCTATGAACAATAAAATATTTGCAAATATTTTTTTTACTTTCAAAAAAAAAAAAAAAATTTTTTACTAATAATTAGATTAATATAGGAAGAAACTAATGAATTTCTCTCAGAGTTCAAAAATTAGAAAGAAAGAATTGTTAGTCGTAAATTATACTGCACCTTAGATGATCTATAACTGCATTAAGATTATGAAAATAATACATGTTAAACATGTAATATATGTATCATTTGATCAACTTTATGATATATGTATCAAATAATTTACTTTTTAATATAAATATTATATAGTCTACTTTTTATTACTTATATTATATTCTCTAGTTTTTATTATATGTATTATTTTTATTTATCAAAAAACTAGTATAGTACTAGTTAACAATTTTATATAAATAGACCTGTAAGTTGACCTTGAGTCAACAGAATTCAAAGAGAGTTCGATTAGATAGTTTTCTGAATAAGTCTTGGGACTAGACTGATAATTCTATAATTAATAAAGTTACTATTTTACACTTTCAACCTTATTCTTGTCTTCATTATAAGATTGATCATGATAACCTACTATACAAGTGAATCATGATAATAGATTATTTTATTTATTAATCATTAATTTCTCTTAAGAAAGGCCTTTAAAATAATTGTATTATTAAGTTTATTAGTTTTGTTAACTTAGTTTGAGACAATTTTAGATCTAATACTAAGGTAAGCATATGCTATTTACAATTCTATTACAATATATTTTTTAAAAAAATAAATTTACAAGTAAAACAAAATACTATCGAAACAGCTAATAAATTTCTAATTCATAGTTACATATATAAATATTATTATTTGAATAAGTATATTTTGCAAAGCAATGATCATTTTCCTTTTTTAGATATTTTAAACAAGTAATTAAGATATAATTTTTTGAGAAAATCTATTAATCTTCAGAATTTATGTATGTACTTATTACATTTCACAATTTTAGAGGTTAATTTTGATTAGAAATTAAAGATCATAATTCATTATTTTCTTACATTAAAATAAAAGAAATTACATCAGTCTGATAAGTTTGTTGTTAAGGTGATAAATAAATTAATTAAATCAAAACATTTTATGATCTTAATAATTCAGATTTTTTACAATATTTTTACTCACTGAAATAGTGTCAGAAATTTATACTGAGGATATTATAACATATTTTTAAATAATATTATATAATTTATTAATGATATTATAAATTTTATATAAGCTTTGTATTTATTTAAAAAGCTAGCATTATATTTATAAAATTTCTTATTTTTTAAACATTTTATTAAAGAAATATAAAGCTGATATTTACCAAATATGTTTTCTTATATTTTATGAAAATATTATTTGAAATGCATCTTTGAGAATATATATTTACCAATCCATCTTATAAATTTCTCTTATCAATTTGTAAATCAATTAATCAAAGCTTTGATACTTTAAAATATATCTTCATATTTTTAAATTCAATTTATTTAATAACTCTCTACTAAAGCTCTGAATAGAACAGTTCAGATCAAGTCAATTAAATTATCTGAATTAAGAGGATTGTGTCAGATCAAATAAAAATCTGATTTGACTTTAATTTTTA